ATTTCTACTAATTGCTAACTCACTGAAATTCCTTTCTAGTTTTTCTACAAGGTTTTTCTGATCATTGTAACTAGTACTTTATATGCCACACCATATGTCTAGTAAATCACGATAATTATTGCAGTAGATAATTCCTTTTTTTAAGAACAAAAGTAGCTTTATTACAGCATTTGAAAATGTGGGAATTTTTTGAATATACCTACAGTAAATAATTGAACAAAAAATCAACACATAAAAATATTTGAAATATATTTTATAAAATATTCACAATAAAAATGTTTATACAAGTATCTTACCAAAATAATATCCGAGACACAAATTAATTAATTTATATCTATAAAAATATGGGATTATTATACCATACATATTGCATTTTTGCGATTGGTTTAAAATATAAAATAAACAAAGGTAACACAAAACAATAAATAAAACAAAACTTTTATTTTTTCACATATCGAAATCAATGTCCGCCCCGAATAAGGTTCTAACCCTCAATATTTGTGAATCGGTGTTATTGGCGGAAGAAGGTTGTAATCATCATATATCTGTTATACTGGTATACAATTGGTCGAAGAAAATAACCTCATTTCATGTTTATGAGAGTATTCAAGTCGAGCCGCGACGAATAAGGTTGTAACATCATTTATTAGAAATATTAGACATGGCGGATGAAACATGTGTTAATGTGAGTGTGGCTACAAAAAAACAATTAAATAACTCTCGAAAAAGAAAAAATTGGTTTAGTGAGTGGAAGGACAATAAAAGTAAAACCCTTCGAGACACTGGGAAGGAATAACAGTACCTTTTCCAGAAAAGGTTCCTGAAAAAATACCTCCAGTAAACGTAAGTACAGAAAATTGTATTTATTTCCTGATGTTTAAGTAACTAAATAGTTTTAGATATATAAATTAGGTTAACAAGGTTAATATAGGTCATTTTTTAAATATGTTTAACACTACTAGAGAGTGTCAAACTATACATTTTTAAAACGGTTGCATAAAAATGTGTTTAATCCTAATTGAAAGAAATTTTTAAATTTTAGTTAACTATAAAAAAAATAAATTTTAATACAAAAATAATAAACTGAAATTTTGTTGGCAACTGTGTTTTGCTTCAACGAGTTTTTTTGTTGCAGGCTAGAACTTGTCGCTGTAAGTATGGGTGTGACGAAATTAACTTGGAGCAAAAACATTGCTTTTTAAATAATTCTACAGTGTTAGTTACGATAGACAAACAATGTTACGCCAATATAGAGATTTAGTAGATGTGAAAAGACGATATGTTCCTGAAGGTGAATCGCGACGAAACCGTTCGTTTACTTATATGTTGCCTATTGCAAGCACAAATATACGTGCATGTCAAAAAACTATGTTCCATATTAAAAGTTACGCCCAGGCGTATAAAAAAATTGCAAGAAAAAATTAGAAAAAAAAGTTTAATCAAACATTGTCTGATCAAAGAGAAAAATATACCACATGCGATCTCCGATGAAGTAGAAGTAGCTGTAAGAGAGCACATTAAATCTTTTCCAAAAGAAGTGAACCACTTTTCCAGAAATAACACTCAAAAGCTTATTTTTTAAGGCATTATTTACTTTTTAAGGCAAAATTTCCAAATTTTCGTTGCAGTGAAAATCTCTATCGATACATTTTTAATTCCGAATTTGAGATTTGGAACACCTAGATCGGACACTTACGTTCGATGCGATAAGTTTTATGTCGAGCTTGTATGTGTGCCAAATCTGAGGCCGAAATGCATATACTTCAAATCGAAAGCAAACTACAACACGCAAAAGCGGAACAAGGATATGCTACCTTAAATGAGGATGTAGAATTAGCTTAAAATAATCCCAAAATTATTGTTCTATGTACAGATCCAAAGCAAGTACTGTTTTGACCGACGCTAAAACATTCTGACATATTTTACCAACATCAATATTCATGTTATAATCCAGCAATCCACAATGTGGGTACAAACGGGGGTTTTATGTGTCTGGGACATGAAATTGTAGCAAAAAAGGTACAGCTGAGACAACATCCTGCCTACTGAAGTATATTACTAAGCTCATAGAAAAAAACAGAAAGAAAATTAATTGTTTGGTCAGACCCATTTTATATATAAAAGTTTACGCTATATTATCCTCTCAGAAATATTTTTGTTTTCCTTATCCAATAATAAAAAGTATATTATCTTAAATTTGATTACATACGAAAAAAACGTTTCCTGCTAAAACATGATTTTGTGGGTTATAACCTTATTCGGCTCGGCCATTCAAATGTTAAATAGGTAATTTGGAATATTATTCGATTTTTAATACCTTGGAAAACTGCAGATAATTGCTTACCAATGTTTAACGTCAAACGAAAGGAGAGACGTTTTTCTAAAATACTTCTATTAAAAATTAAAATTCCATTTGGTATATCACACGATGGGTGCGGTTAAAGCAGATTTCCTCACAAAAAGGTACTTAGTTCAATTTCAAGATAAGCTCGAGGTACAGATGGCCACAAATAGCTGCAACCTTCAAGGTCATTCTATCTGGTATATCGAGAAATGACTATTCAGTTGTCTGAAATTGAGCGAAGCATAAACATCCATTTAGTTAGCATTGAGCACCAATCTTAGTCGGTTTGCAACTTTGCCAGATAACTATTTACGTAATTCGTGAAATAGTTATTTGTATTAACAATTCTAAGAGGTGAAATAATTTTTTATTAAAATGAATAACTGAAGTGCCGTAAAAAATCGGATTCTGAGTTCACAAGCTGGTGCATTCATATACTGTTTTAAAATTTACGCAAAAGGAAGCAGAAGGCAATGCACTTCTTATCGAATTATCCAAATTACAAGAAGGAGTAGTTGTTTTGATAGGTAAATTTATGATATATTTATATTATAAAAAATATGTTATTGTTCTGCAACTTAGATTACAATTTTTTTGTTATCAATCAAATATAAAAAGAGGTCTTGTTTTGTAAAGATATGAAATAATCGAATAAGAGAAAAAAGTTTATATAAAATTAAATGTTTATAGGTGTCAGTTTATACAGCGTCAAAAAAATCGCTAAAGAGGGTTGTGAGGTTGGAAATGGTGAAACCTTTGGATTCTCCATACCTAATAAACGACAAAAAAGTCATCAAAAATACAGCTAGATGCATGTGATCAAGGTATCTTACGGAGACAGGTATATAATTTTCAACTTAGCGATCAACTAGTTCAACTATTAAGGAAAATCATCAGAAATTTGTAAGCGAACTGAATTATGCAAGAAGTAGAGACAGTATGAGAAGAGAATTTCATAACCTTGAGTTTCACTGAAAAAAACATCAGTCGACAAGAGAAACATGTTGATAAAAAAACATGAAATTAGACATTTAAGGCTGCAATACTTGAGGAACATTAAGGAAGCTAGAGAAGCAAATAGATTTAAAGTGTTTACTGACGAGACTTATTCATTAACGAGTCACATTTCCAAAAACAATTGGTGGGACACTAGTAATAATGGACTTAGAAAACCCGTGTCAAAAGGGCAATGTTTAATTATTGTTGGGACAGGAAATGGAAAAGGTTTTGTCCCTGGATCTTATTTGAGGTGAAAGTCGACGTCAAAATTTGGAGATTATCATGATGATATTCATTATTATTATATGATTATCATATTCGTGTGGACATGAACTTTGCAAATTTTAAAAAATGGTGGAAAGAACAACTTTTGAGTAACTTGCCTCCAAATAGCGTAAAAGTTTGGATAATGCACCATACCATAATACACAGGAAGATTAAATCTCCCACATCATCATCGAAGAAGTGTGTTATGCAGAAATTTCTTCGAGAAAAAAATATTCCATATACTGCTTCTATGTTGAAGTCTGATCTGTGTAACATAATAAAATTGCATAAACCTCGTTATGTAAAATAACGATACAATTATACGAGCAGAAATGAAGTATTTACTCCCACCTCACCATCCCGATTTGAACCCTATTGACATAGTTTGGGCAGCTTTGAAGTCCTATATGGGAGCCAGCAATAATGACTTTACATTTACGTCAATACAGGAGTTATTGGAAGAATTTTTTCAAACATTTTCTGTGGAAGAATGGAAAAAATAACTGAAAAAGTTATCGCAACTGAACGTGAATTAATATCAACAGAGCCATTAATTGATGTAGTCGTAAATAATATGGTTATCAATGTAGACGAAGGTTCAGACAGCGAAGATTTTTAATCAAATTCTGACATCGAAAACAGCGATTTTGATAATATTTGAATGAAAACTGGTAAGAATGTTTTTATAAGCTTTCTAATATAATAGACTTTTGTTCATTTTAATAATTATGACGAATACTTCACATAATAACATATTTTATCAATGACCTCAAACAACTTCGATGTTAGTGCTCTGATAATAAATGTATTAAAACCCTTACTGTAATTAAGGAGTATTAATTGTTTTACAGTTCAAAAACAAACCTCTAAAATAACAATTGGTTAGGCAACACCGCATAAATGACCCTCTTGGGTTCTATCGGTTCTCTTGCTAGCAGTTGTCATGTCACAGCTTGTCATTGGTTAGCACTTAATTTCTAAGCAATGACAAGCTGCGACGACACGACACTCACACCGATCACGTGTCTGAAACTGTTTACCCCAGCTTATCTTGAAATTGAACGAAGTAGTATCATGCAAGGTCCAATTTTTTTTGTTTGCTCACAAGAGTAAAAATTCATGGTCCCAACTGTAAACTCATTATAAATAATAGATTACATGTCTTTTTCTGCTTTGATATATTTTTAATAATGTCTTCGTTTGTTACGATTTTATTATTAATAAAGGTTTCAAAGAAATGGTTAAATGGAGAATAAAGGAATTAGGCCAATTATGGACAACGAAAACTGTTCACAACACTCGCATCGGTTGTCTACAAACTTGTAAATGACTAAAAAGTTAAAATATCCTAAGATAAGAGAAAGATTCAAGATTCAATCGAAACAAAGTAAGGCGAACATATTTTTTCTATTAAAAAAAATTAAAAAATCACTGTGTGTGAATATAAAACAAGCAATAAATAGTATCATACGTTTTCACTGATTATGTTCAATAATCTATATCGCTTTCTTCCATTTTCTGTTCCGTCGATTGTTTAAACTTTTCTATGAGAGCCTCTCGAGGAGCCACTTCTTTTATTCTGAGGGGGTAACTCGTGGATTGTCGGACGGGAGTATCGCCTACGTGTTTTGCTTTAACGTTTTTGTCTAGTATTTGTTGGACGAGCACCTAAAATGGTAAAATGTTAAAAATCTTTAAATGCAAAGAATTGCTTAAAAGTACTATGAAAATAAAAATAAAAACAAAATAATTATCATAAATAAGAAAAAAACTGCTAAAGGGCCTCCTAGGGACAAATAAATTCGCTGGTGGAACGATGAAGTGCAACAGGTTATGAAGAAGAAAGAGATATGGCATATCTAAAAGAGAGAAAGACAAGGGTATATACAAGATAGTAAAGAGAGTACAGGAAAGATCGTTTGCAAAGCTGTATTGTTGGAAACACCCCAAGGGATGATGAAAAGGTTATACAACATTGCTAAAGCAAAGAAAAAGCCATCAAAGGACGAGTTATGTGTGGCAGATTAAGAGTATGGATGGAAGAGTGTTAAGACCCGATGTTTAAATAAAGCAAAAATGGTATGAGTACTTTAGAAAGTTAATGGAGTTTGGCAAACTCCATTAATTAGAATTTGTAGAGGTGTCATACAAGGGGATACAATCTCACCCAAACTATTTACTCTGGCGTTGGAAGACATTTTTAAATCTATAGACTGGGACAATAAAGGGATTTGTATAAACGGGAAATATTTAAATAATCTAAGATTCGCCGATGATGTACTCCTGATAGCAACAACTATGGAACAACTACGAATAACGATTTCAGACCTAGAAAAAATATCTCTTGAGAAAGGACTAAAAATTAATCTAAAGAAAACTAAAATAATGACTAATACAGAAGACAGATCAGTAATTACCACAGGTGGAACAAACAAAGAACACGTCCAATAATATATTTACTTAGGACAAGCTATCAGAGCAGACAAAAGTAACCAGACTAAAGAAATAACCAGAAGAATAAAAATGGGCTGGACTGCATTCGGAAAACTCTCATATACTATCAAAAACCAAAAAATACCTTTAACATTAAGAACGAAGGTATTTAATGCATGCGTCCTACCTGTTCTGAGATATGGTACCCAGACGTGGACGTGTACCAAGAGCAACTTAGATAGAATAAAGAAAACTCAAAAAGCTATGCATAGACAAATGTTGGGAATATCGTTAAGAGATAAAAAGAAGAACGAGTGGATAAGATGCAAAACCGAAACGACAGACGCTGTCGAACATGCATTGAAGTTAAAATGGAAATGGGCTAGGCATAACGAAAGATATCAGAATGGAAGATGGAATAAAGAAATTGGCCGCTGGAGACCATACACTGCAAAATGGTCAAGAGGTCGACCGCAAATGAGATGGAAAGATGACATTGAGCAAAGCGCAGATCCAATGTGGAAAAGACAAACAGAAGACAGAGACAAATGGGAGAGGCCTATATTCAACACATGAATAGATTTTGGACTATAGATAGATAGCCCATTACAGTAGATGTTGGGTAAGACTAGAAGGGACAAGATCAGGAACAACGTGATTAGTGAAAGAGCAGGGGTGACCTCAGTCCCAAAAAATGTTTAAGAACAAAGACTGCAAGGGTTTGGTCACGTCAGACATAGAAGGATAAAGCTGTTAGAAGTTGATGGAAAGAGAGGTAGATGAAAACCGAGTAAAACATGGGAGGACTGTGTGGCAGAGGACTTGAGGGAGAAATATTTAGGTGAAGAAGACTGATGGACAGAAATGGGTGCCGAATTATGGACAAAATGTAGAAACATAATAACTGAGAAGGCATCGGAAATATTTAGGAAAAGCAAACCAGTTAAACAAAACGAATGGTTTGACGAGGAATGCCAAGAAGCAACAGATAACAAAAATAGAGCATACCTAAAGACACATCAAGCTAGATGCACAAGAAGAACAAAGGAGGAATACCGGGCCCTAAGAAGGGAAGAAAAAATTTTCTGAAGCAATTTCTTCAAATTGCTTTCTTTTTCTTCTATTATATAGAAGAAAAAGAAAGCAATTTGAAGAAAAGCATTTAGAAAACATAAAATTGTCCAAGCCATTAAAAAGCTTGAAATTAATAAATCACCAGGAACTCATCAAATTTGTAGTGAGCTATACAAAATGGTTGCGACGCCCTACTACAAGCACTGCATAAACTTTTGCACTACTTTTTGTCTGGCAAAATGAGACCAAGCCCTGTGAATGGTCTCAAGGCGTGATATTCCCGTTACATAAAAAAGGCGATCAACTCCAGTGTGACCAACTACAGTGGTATAACATTGTTAACAACTGCAAATAAAATATTAGCAAATATTCTCTACGAAAGGCTACAAGTTTACACAGTTGGCATAGTTGGACAATACCAGGCCAGATTTACCCTAGAAAAATCAATAATTGACCGCATTCATCCAATAAGACAGATCCTTTCCTTTCTGGTATACCAGAAAAACTTATCCGATTAACGAGAATGACAATCTCTAACTTAAACGCCAGCGTTAGGATACAGGAGAAAATTTGAAATAAAGAATGGACTCATACAAGGGGATGTCCTGGCTTCCTATTACACATTACCTTGGAAAAAGCAGCAGCGCCGTCTTTAATCCACACGGATTAAAGACGGCGGTACGATTTACAATAGATCGATACAAATCTTAGCATACGCTGATGACAATAACATAAAGCGTAACAAGCGAGATGTTGAGCAATATTTCCTAGAGTTGGAAACGGCGGCGAAACAGATCGGTCTAGTCATTAATGAAAACCAAAACAAGTACATGTTGGTTACTAAGGATCCTATAGCAAATGAGGAACGGAAAACAGTCTTTGGAAGTCATATCTTTGGACGTGTTGACAGCTTGACACCTTGGCTTGATAGTGACTACTACCAACAAAACAAGCGAAGAAATTAAAAAGAAAAAGCATAGAAAAACTAAAATTATTATATACAAAACGCTGCTAAGGCCGGTCCTCACATATGGGACGGAAACATGGATTCTAGCGCAGAAGGATGAAATAGTTTCGGGAATATTCGAGCGTAAGATACTCCGCAAAATATTTTGAGCTATAAACGATCAAGGGCAGTGGCGCAAAAGATATAATTTCAAATTTCAACTATTTAACCCTTTAAGCGGCACTGGTAGGATATCCTACCAACGTCTAATAAGGTCTATATCTCATAAGTAAAGCAATAAATTACGTCCGTATTGCGTCTGGGTGCATAAGAACATTTGCCGAAACAGCAATGAGTACCACGACTACCACACACCGAATGTTTCCGAAGTTATTTGCACCGAATGGCTTTTGTTGTATACGCTGGTATCACAGTGTTACCAGTGCCTGTTTACGGTATCGACGATAAGCAGTTTTTGTGCGTACCTTGAAAATTAACGGTTTTTATGTGACTGAGTAATCCTCAATTAGATTTATAAAAGGTAAGAATTATAATACAATATTATTACCGCGATATTCTATTGAAGTAAACTGATTTTCGTTTATCGTTTCCTAATAATTATTTATTTTTTCAGTGGCGGCACATGCTTGAATAATTTATGCAAAATTTTAATGGATAAATTATAACAGCTTTTTGCTACATTACGTGCCAATATTGCATAAAATGATTGTTCAAACATATTTCTTTGTAAAAAATATATTTTTAAACCTATCTAATTTTGCGCCAAGGAAATATTTGTAATTTTACTTATTTTCTCAATGGCGGCACATGCTTAAATAATTCATGCAAAATTTTGATGGATAAATTATAACAGTTTTTTGCTAAATTACATGCCAATAATAATTATACGCAAAAATTTATTTATAGATGAACTACCGAGAATATTGCTACAAAAAAAGCCTCTCTCTGAAGAAGAACTACTACTAGAGTTATTGGAGGTAACAGAAGAGCAGGCGGAAAATTCCGATGTTGGTGGAGACTCTGATGCAGATGATTTTGAGCGAGTTGACTCTTCGTCAACAGGAACCCCGCAAACGCGCTCTTCTATTTCGTCACCAGCTGTAAGTGTCCATTCTTCTTTCCACACGCCAAAACGTATACGAATAGTAGCACCGATCAACCAACCTCAGCTGTCGACATCGCAGGAATCTGCCGGGCAGTCAGCGTCGGAAGAGGAATTGGCGGATGATCCTTATGACTCCGATGACTCTGTGACTGATGTTACCTATCAGCCAAAAATACCTAGACCATTACAACGTTCTCTTCTGGAATCGGACAGTGATGAGAGAGCTGACGAGCCACACGAAGATCAAGAAGACTTTGTAAATTGGTCAAACGTACCTGTGATACCCCAAGCGTATACAAACTTCCAGTATGTAGATGATATGGGTCCAACCGTGCAGGTAAAAACTTATTTTACTCGATATATTTTCAAATAATTATTGTTGTATTATTGCAGGTTCGTTCAGAAAGACCGATAGACTTCTTGAATTTGCTGTTGCCTATTGAAACTCTGCAGTTGATTGTAGATCAATCTAATTTGTATGCCAGTCAGAGAGGAGTACTTCTGAACATTACAGTGGCGGAGCTAAGAGCTTTTCTGGGGGTGTTGATAATTATGGGTTTTAACTCTTTGCCGGCTATCCCTAAATATTGGTCAAGAGACCCAAATTTCAACAACTCCCGTATTTGCCACATTTTCCCTTTGAAACGGTTTTTGCGAATTTTAAGGTTCATTCATTTGAACGACAATGAGGGAATGCTGCCACGTGGTGATCCAGGATATGATAGGCTGTACAAAATCCGCCCATTAATCACACGGCTCAATGAAATCTATGGCAAAAGCTTTATTCCAAGCAGAAATGTCGCGATTGATGAAACCATGGTAGCATTCAAGGGACGAACAACACTGAAGCAGTACATGCCAATAAAACCTGTCAAAAGAGGATTTAAAGTTTGGGCAATGGCATGTGCTGAAACAGGATATTTGTTGAAGTTTGACGTTTACCAAGGTAAAACAGCGATAAATCCGGAGCATACATTAGGGGAAAGGGTTGTGATTGAATTATCAGAGGCGCTGCAGAATAGAGGCTTCTGTTTATACTTTGATAATTTCTTTACGACAATTCCTCTAATGAAAAAAACTATTGGACAGAGGTCTGTTTGGATGCGGGACAATGAGACAGAACAAGGCGAACTACTCGAAGATAAAAAGTTAGCGATGAGCCAGTCTGATTTTGCAATGTGTCGCGACGTATCTGTCGTGAAATGGAAAGACAGAGGTAGTAAACCTGTTACAGTATGTAGCAACTTTCACAATGGTGGTGATAAAGGACACGTTCTTCGAACCAATACAAAAGGTATCAAAGAGAATGTTGTTTGCCCGATGTCTATAGTTGACTATAACAAAAATATGGGTGGGGTGGATCGGTTTGATCAAAGGATGGCGGTCTACAACATAGGCTGGAAGAGCCGTAGGTGGTGGATGAATCTCTTTTATTATATGATTGAGACAAGTGTCGTCAACTCCTATATCATTTATGCGTTGGGAATGAAGAAAGAGAGAAAGAAGCCTCTTAGTCACCTTCAATTTCGGAACAAGTTGGCCGACGAATTGATAGAAGAGTTTTCTGCTAGAAAAAAAATGGGTCGTCCACTGTTAGTGACAGCAACGGACAACATAGAACATTTGGCGACTAAAACTACCTCACGGCGTTGCGCTCAGTGTAGCAAAGAGGGAAAGCAGAAAAGAACTTCCGTCAAATGTTCAAAATGTGAAGTGGCTTTGTGTATTGAATGCGCTATACCATACCATTAGTAATAGTAAATTTCTAAAAATAAACCATTTATTCCGGATATATATTATATATTATTTTTGTGGTGGTAAACCTGTAATACCAGTGAATTTTAAGAATTTTTTTTGTTGTAAACAAACACTGGTAATACGGTTTACCACTGTTTGACAGATTGACATATAGAACTAATTCAAAATGACCTTCAGAATACCTATTTAGTTCGTTTTAACTAAAATACCATATTTAACTTTCATTTTCTCTCCCCAAAAAAGTTGCCTGTTAAAGGGTTAATGAACCAGATGTCAAAATACAGCGACTTACACGACAGGAACACTCATAGGAAGAAGAAGCAAAGGCCGACTACGGTGACTAATCTTAGTGCAGACCAGGATCCACGGAGGATTGCCGAGCCAAAGATGATGATGATGAATATAAGGAATAGGATGACTCAAAGGAAACATACAGTTACAAAAGTTGTAAATTAAATGTGTAGATATATAAATGGAGTTTGCATTTTAAAGTAGATACTGTTCCAATATGTAAATGTTGGTAAATAATAAAAAAACGGCACGTGGCACTTGGGGAATGCCAACAAAAGTGACTACTTCTTATCGCGCGTTATGGTTATATATGGGTTAATGAAATTTTGATGTCTGCTTATTAATGAATTGTTAATATTTTTTATAAGAACACCATACATTTATGTTCTGCAAAATATAATTCTTTAAAAATGTTGTTTTATGATTATATTAAATCAAAATTTGGTAAATATAATGTAGAATTTAATTATCATTTACATTTTCATCTTCATCTTCTCATCTTGTACATTATATACATGTAGATAACATACAGGCATACCGAGCGATAAGAAGTAGTCACTTCAAAAATATTTCTTACTTCTTTCATATGACAGATGAACTTTGTGAACGAATCCACTGTATCAGTTTTTCCTACCACCATATCTACACTATTTAACAAATTTTTAATTTTTTCATCCATCGCTTCTTCTATACTTTTGCAGGTGTTTGATATTGATGTATTAAACGTCTCTATTGTGTATTCTGTAATCTGAAACGGAAAAGACTAGTTGATTATGTTAATAATAGCAATATTAATATTAAGTGATGGATTCGACCGTTACCTGATTTTGTTTTCAACACTTCCACAAATTTTATTTTAATTTATTATCACTACAGCTGTTTCAAGTTGAGAAAGCCACTCTGGCCGAAACAGCTGTAGTGATAATAATTTAAAATAAATTCTTCCACAAAATTTAAATGGTAGTGATAATAATTTAAAATAAATTTTGTGGAAGTGTTGAAAACAAAAGTTTTTAGTGCTTTATTGTTAGAATATTAATATTTAAAAACAATTATGTTTTTGGGTTTTAACATGGGATTTATTACTTGTATACCACGCCTTCTTTCCATTTTTGGATAAAGGTTTCTTGTGTATTCCCTACTGATATCTATTGACTGATGGTTTTCACCCATATTGTTTTAGCAACCAAAAAAAATTAATAAACTTAACCGCAAAAGTTTTGCACCACTAAATATTTTTTTTATTTACACAAAGTACCTCGACAACTATGGCCATTAGTACAGGAACACTAATATTAAACATGTAATAAATAATGAGAACAAATAATAATTATATCACTTTAATTATAATGTCTATTAGGTTAAATCTTCTGGCAGAGTTGAGCGGTTTTTAGAAACTGTATAGTTTTTGCGATCCCTGTAGGGTTGTTGAGCATTTCCTTAAGAGTAGGTTTTAAGTCCAGTGCTTTATAGAAATTGGTGAATTGTTTGCAGTCGGTGAAGATGTGTTTTAAAGTCAAGTAAACATTGCAATGGTGGCAAGTTGGACGAGTTAAAGAGGACATCAAGAAACCATGGGTAAGTTTGGTGTGGTTGATTCGGAGTCTTCTAATAGTCGATGCTTATTTTCTAGTTAGGAAGTCCAGGGAGATATGACCAATAAACGGTGAGTTCGTGAAAAGTTGTTTTGCCCTTTTGCCAGGTGTCTTCTACTGACTTAGACCATACCAGTATTTCCAGTATGAGAAGGCAGCCGTATGAGAGAAACTGTTATTTCGTGAGCAGAGAGATTTTGGTATATGTCATGAATGTTTTGAACTAATGGGTGGTCAGTGAAAATTGTATTGACTGAATGGATATATGAAAGTGAATCTGAACAAATGGCAATATGTCTGTTTTGATGGGAGATGCATTTAATACTATATAGTTCACCTGTGATCTGTTTAACCTGCACAAGAAAGTTAAAGAACTGGCAGGACTAAGAAAACAAAATCCCACTCGTGCAACTCTGGATAGACACGGGACTATTATAACACATACGGACGAGAAAGTACAAAGATGGGCAGAATATATCAAAGAATTGTTAGATGATGAAAGAGGGGATCTGGAGCACATAGAACTTACGTCAGAAGAAATAGGTCCATGTATTACAAAAGAAGAAATATTACACGCATTAAAAACAATGAAGAGTGGGAAAAGCCCTAGACCTGACATGCTTCCTATAAAAATCCTAAAAATTTTAGATAGTTCATGCGTATTACCCAAAGAGTGGTTAACATCGATTTTTATTTGTCTCCCTAAAAAGAAGAAAAACGCAAGAGAATGCAGCGATTACCGCACCATTGGCTTGATATCTCATATGCTAAAGTTACTACTTAAAGTCATCCATAACCGAATATATCACAAACTGGACATAGACGTTAATGATACACAATTTGGTTTCCGCAAAGGCCTAGAAACGCCTGAAGCTCTTTTTTCACTCAATATACTGATACAAAGATGCCTAGACGTCAATCAAGATATATACGCATGTTTTATTGACTATAATAAAGCATTCGATAAAGAAGGGCATACACAATTAATGAATGTCCTGAAATCAAAGAAGATTGACTACAACAATCTCAGGATCATATCAAATTTATACTATAAACAACGAGCAAAAGTATGTGTTTACGAAAGCTGTCAGAAGAAATTGAAATTAGATGTGGAGTGAGACAGGGATGCGTATTGTCGCCAATTTATGCCTACTCCGAAGAGATCCTAAAAAAAGCTGTTGAGGGTGAAACAGCTGGAATAAAGGTAAATGGAGTTCCCATTAACAACATTAGATATGCGGACGACACTGTGATCTTAGCCGAAAACATTGAAGATCTTCAGAGACTAGTGACCAGAATAGCAGAGTATGGAATAGCAGAGTATATCTGGGAACAATGATTAACTCCACAAATAGAAATAAAGAATAAGAATTCAAAATAAGAATAGAAAATACTAGAGCAAATTTCAACAAAATGAGAAGAGTGCTATGTACCAGAGATTTAAAACTGGAACTAAGAGTTAGGTTGGCGAGGTGCTATTTTTTTTTCGACTTTATTTTATGGAATGGAATCTTGGACCTTGGATGCGACATCAATAAAAAAAAATGGAATCATTCGAGCTGTGGGTATACAGAAGAATACTGAAAATATCGTGGACAGAACATGTCACAAATAAAGAGGTTCTGAGAAGGATGAATAAAGAAATGGAAATTTTAAATACAATTAAAACAAGAAAATTAGAATATCTCGGACATATTACACATGGAAAGAAATACACCTTGCTCCAACTGATTATGCAGGGAAAGAGAAATAAAGGGAGGCGTAGAATATCATAGCTGCGCAACCTGAGAGAGTGGTACGAATGTACATCGAATGAACTTCAGAGCTTCAGAGCAGCCGTCTCAAAAGTCCGAATAGCTATGATGATTGCCGACCTCCGCCGCTGAGATGGCACTTGAAGAAGAAGAAGTTCACCTGTGTAAAGGCTGTATATTAAGTGTAACCGAGATGATCTTACAAGTTCATGTTTAGCAGTTACTGCACAGCCAACACCAGTTGTAGTTTTGGAAGCATCGGTATAGAGAATTAAATCATGATTTTTTTCAATAATTTATAAAAATGCTGTCTTTATAAAAATGTTAGAAGATTCATGTTTGTTGGAGATGGTGAGTGAGGCGTCTATTGAAGGGAGATTTTTAGCCCAGGGGAGAAGCAAAGGTAGAGGAAATAAACTAGTCAGAAGGAGGTCATAATTTTTAAATTGTGGGCAAATTAATTGAGATATAAGTTTTATGATAAGGTTTTGGATATTGTTAGTAGAAGAAGACAGCATTGTGGTAATTAAGGAATTAACGGGATTAAAGGGATCACTCAATGTTATACTCGTTTTGATAGTGGATTTTCTCGTACACGGATTAAGGGATTCCGCTAATTTTTTTTTAATATATTTAACTTTTTCTTTGATATTTACACTGTTTGACAATGGTTTACTCAAACTTCTCATTCGGGCTTATATCGGGTGGAAAAAAATGTTTTTCTTGTGTTAAGTTTGTAACGACTATTCTGCTTACCTCAGGGTAAGGACATGGGGGTAGAAGATTGGGTAAACAAAATAATCGAAACAAGTGCGTACGGCACTCAGTTGGTTATTGGAGAGCTGGGTCGTGGATAAGTTGAAGATATGGGGGTTGGATTGGGGCAACTACAAAAAAAAAGGAAATAAAAGGGTACTTATACAAATCTCTTGGGACAAACAAAATTAAAATAAACCGGAAACACCTCAAGGAATTTAATATAGGGCGCCACTTGAGGTATCTAATTATACCTATTACAACCACTAGTTGTAACTAGGGAAATAATTATAAAACATCAAAAATATAGAAAAAAAAATATATTTTTCAAATAAAACTCAAAATAGATCAGAGAAACAAATTAAACGTTTATTTTTGTCTCAAACAAACAGTTATCAAAAATACAGATTTTACAAGAACATATTATACAACATAATCCAAATTAATAAAAACTTACATGTTCTTCGTTTACATAAGAGATTGCTACAAAAATTTTAAATGGTTTCTAGGTTAGAATATTGCCAATTTAGATTATCAAAATTTTATGGATATCCTTTTTATGAAAAATATTATTGAATTTAATCTTACATATGGAATATCTTTTATATAAAATAATCAAATTAAAATTGTCTTATAACAACAATGGATTAAAGCAAAATGCCATATGTCAACATAACAACTTGAGACAGATTAAATTATGACATTTTTATCTACGACAACATAATATAAAACTTTAATTATTACAAATTTTATTATATTAATGAAAGCAATTATTAATAATGTCCATACTTGGAAAAACTAATATATTAAAAGTTACCTTAATCTTTTTTATAGTCACTTAACTTTGAAACTCGTTACATCTCTGAGAAAGCTTACTTGAACAAAACTCTCAAACTGGAAAATATGAAAACATCAGACCCATTTCCATTCTCCGGGACGAAACGATCGAACAGGGTCAAGTTAAGTAATCAAGCTAACACCCGGGACATCTTATAAAACACTTCGCAAAAGCTTCCGGTGACTACCATACCATAAGTAAATAATAGAACATTTGACTACTATGTCAAATCAAAACAGCAATTAAAGCCTGAGAGTATCTTCACTTTTACTGGTATTAAAACATTTTCAAAAAATAAAGATTAAATCGACTTTTTCGAATCAAATCGATACGCCGTGTTCGACCAATCTAGCTTGACTGACCTCCGCTTACATTCTCTCAATTCGAACCCGAATCACCCCTTTTCCCCGCAGTTAGTCCGTCATCCACAAACTTAAAACAAACAAAAAAAATCGGACCCTCGTTCTAAACGACCAAAACAACTTCAAAATATTCCAGCTTATTGCGTTTTTAACGACGAAAGACAAATAAAACCTCTTTTTTATAATCCCTTTATGCGACAAAAAAATGTTGAAATATATATAACTTAATACAAATTAAAAATAGCACGTAGTTTATTGACGACCCCAAAAACCGGTGTCTTTACCTGACTTTGTAACACAGAGATAAAAACATATATATTATTGCCTTATCTCGTCGAAAAAAACTTCGTCGAAATATTTACAAAATACACTACATTATTTTAACTTCGTCGAAATATAAAAAAAAAACTTCCTATATTAACGATCGTTTTCTTGGTAAAAACAACCAGGGGAGTATTACAGAAATCTAAAATATAAAACGCTACAAGTTTAAGAAATCCCGTAGGAAGGACAAGGTACTGGGATAGGTTTACATCAAAACCATGCTATAGTCTTATGTTTTGCGAACATTTTGTTTTTTTAATTTTCTTAATATCTTTGAAAACAAAGAAAATAGACGGTTTTATTCTTCAACAAGTGTTTAAACTAAATAAATATATTTATAATTAATACTAAATTAATTATAAAAATTAATAACAGTCAACAAAACTTTAAAAACAGAAAGTAAATTAATATCGCGTGTTTCCGATCCACCTTTATACCTTGTCCTCCTTACACAGTGTCTCAAGTTTAACAAGAAAAACAATTTTTTTCTTCCGCCCGATTTAAGTCCAAAACAGTCTAAAAAATTTTAAAAAATTAGCGAAATCTCTTAATCTGTTCACGAGAAAATTAACCATCAAAATGAGCATATTTTTTTATGGTGCAACGTTTGCCGTTAAGTTTACAATATTTACACTAACGATAAATTTTAATACTACTTACTTCTTCATGTTTTTTATTTAGAACCGAAGAAATCTCATTCAATTTGTTTTCAAATTCTTGTATCACAGCCTGTAGCTCTTGTATTTTGGCATTTTGTATTGCAATTAACTTAGGTAGCTGGTAACAGCTCTGCAGCTGAAAAAATACGTGCATTTATTTTATCATCGTATAAAATCCAAGGCTTCCACATTTATTGATTAAGGGATTAAAAATAACAGGAAGATTATTACATAATTTGGAAAATTATAAATATATAACAGAATAACAAAATAATAAAAAGACTTACCCCTTCTAGTGCTTCTTTTGATAATTTTTCCAGATTATTGGCCCTTTCTAAAAGACATTCTCTCGTCCTCTCTTCAGCATTAGCAACACTGTCTCTATCTACTTGAATTCTTTTTAATGTAATACTGTCTTCGTTTATTCTCTTCTGTAATAGAGCTATTAAAGATTCATTTTCTTTTATCCTTTCTGTCAATGTTTTTTCTGTGTGATCAAGATTCTCGTGATGTCTTCTAGTTTGTTCGGAATTTATACGGCTAGTTATATCGTCGGATAATTTAATTAACGTCAATGCTTCATCAAAATACTAAAAATACAAATAAAAAGCAATTAATATTCATTTAACGTAACATTTTTTAATGATTTACTGTACTGACTGCATCTCGGGATGAGTAGTTTTCAATGATACCTTACAACACAATCATTTAATCAAATGAAAACAGTAAGATAGGATAAATTGGCTATATCTGTTATCCCATCGACTTGGATTATTATAAATAGATCTAGTGCTTGCAAAATTATTTCATCATTACCTATGAAATACAATCTAATAAGGCGCAGGGTAGGTAAGGTATTTGAAGAACTAACCCATGATTGCTACAAATTAATCACTATGATTTTCAACGCTATGTTAAATCTGCATTACTTTCCTTTCAAATAGGAATTATACTCATACAAAAAACTGGTAAAGATCCAAAAAATGTCAACTCATACAACTCGATTAGTCTGCTCTCAGTCAGTTCTAAGGTTTTTGAGACACTTCTGTTGAGAATAACAAGAGATACTTGTCCACAAGTTTCTCGATGAACATTATTTACCCTAGGATAAAATATCTAGGCACCCACATGGACAAACACAACATGGACCAAACATATATAGACGAAAAACTATAATTAGGATTTGTAAACAGAAATCTTTATTGAATGTTGGAAGAAACTCACATATATCAACAAGAGTAGCAATCTCATTTTCGAAGCGTGAACATGTACCGTCATTCAAAGTGCTAGAGAATTTTCTTATCGTTAATCTACCTAATTAACTAGTAATTATCTTATCAGTATCAAAAAATTGTTAAAGTGAAAAGTAACAAAAACTAAGTGATTAGAAAAACAAAAGAAATATGTTCCCTTCGGGGAGTTATTAGGATTTGATAATAATGGCCAACCAGTTTATCAACAAATAAATACTATACAGAATGTCCCAACAATAAATAACCAGAACCAGTCAAACCAAACAACAGTAAAACCGCGAGTACCATTTTTATATTTTAATCAAACACCATCTAACCAGATAACAAATCAAATGTCATGCCTAAACCAAATACCTATTCCAATACAAATAGCTATACCAAACCAAGTACAATTTCCTAGTCAATCAACTGCACAAAATATTAAAAACACTCAAAACCCTATTCAGTCCCAATACACAACAGTATCCACAAACCCTCAATGCTCACTCTCATCATCACAAAACACCAATAACTACACGGATACCGATAGCGACATAGAACTTAACGAAACAGAAAACGAAAATAAACATCCATGGCCAGAAGTTGGTAATAAGAGAAAAAGGGTGAAAAGACAAACAACTTCAGAAATTCCCAACCAAATCCAAACACAAAACAGATTTGATTCCCTCTCAAATTAAAATCTAGATAAACAAACAGACAATTTATCAAATAGACAAAACAGAAATATAACTAAAAAAGATCCCTCACCGCCACCAATCTATATTTATGGAGTTACTGACTATAGTGCTATGATAGCAAACCTTTCAACTGCAACTGCGGCAGAAACCTATTACACCAAAACCATTTCAAATAATACAGTAAAAATTAACCCTACAAACTCAGACACCTACAGGACACTCAGCACCTTAGAAAAGAAAACATTGTACATCACACTTACCAACCAAAACAAGAGAGGGCCTATAGAGTTGTCATAAGAGGATTACACCATTCAATACCCACAGGAGATATCTCGCATGAATTAAATAATAAGGGTTTTAAAGTTCGCAACATAATTAATGTTAGACATAGAGTTACCAAAGAACCATTGCCCTTATTCTTTGTCGATATAGAGCCAAATGAAAACAACAAAAACATATTTAACCTGTAAGTCCTACGAAACTGCATAATAACAGTAGAACCACCTAGAATAAAAAATACAATAGTACAATGCACAAGGTGTCAAAAATACGGGCATTCAAAAAGTTACTGCCTGAGGCTATTCGCCTGTGTTAAATGCGGTGGATCACATAACACAACAACCTGCAAAAAAGCATGCGACACACCAACAACATGTGCCTTATGTAATGGCAATCATCCAGCAAACTATAAAGGATGTGCTATACATAAAGACCTAGTAAATTCGAAAAACAAAAATATAACAAGCAGCATTCCTATATCTAGAGTTGCAAGCCTAAATAATAATAACACTAATGCTCACCACATACGCCAATCACATGTAACATATGCACAAGTTGCAGCAAATAATACTTCTTCACAAGACAACAATAATAATTCAGACATTTCAAATAAACTTACAGAATTCCTCAACGAATTTAAAAATATGTTTGCACAATTGATAAACCAAAACAGCATGATACTAAGCATGCTTACAACAGTGATAAATAGAACGTCGTAATGGCTAACTTACTTAGAATAGCAGAGTGGAACGCAAATGGTCTAGCAAACCATGTGCAAAAAATTAGACTATTTGTAAAATTAAACAAAATAGACATCCTACTTATATCTGAGAGTCACACAACTGAGAGGTCTTTTATAAAAATTCCACACTACTCTGTCTATTACGCAAACCATCCAGACGGAACAGCCCATGCTGGTTCAGTTGTAATAATTCGTACAGCTATAAAACACTACGAACTTGCTCCATATATCAACAACAAAATTCAGAGTACTACCATAAAAGTACATGCGCTCACCTTACCATTAACAATAGCTTCTATCTACAGCCCACCACACCATACCATCTATCTGGAGGAATACAGAGAGTTTTTTGAACAACTTTTAAAACTCATACAAGATAATAACCTGAAATACCTAACAACTGGTACTCTTACATACTGGCCCACTGATAACAACAAAATTCCTGATCTGTTAGACTTTGCTATAACTAAGGGAATACCTGAAATAAACAGCGACATCATCCCCAGTTTTGACCTACATTCGGACCACAGTCCCATCTTGATTACCTAAAGTACCAATATAATTTGTAAAACTTTTGCACCAAGGCTATGTACCAGTAACACGAATTGGGTTCAATTCAAAGAAGAAATCAATGAAAAAATATCTCTTGATATTCAACTCAAACACAAAAACGATATTGAAGAAGCTGTAAAACATCTAACGGAACAAATACAACAGGCCGTTTGGAAAGCTACTCTTGTAAAGGAAAAAATCATTGATGATTTTTTCTGAAGAAGAGCCCGTCGCAAATGGTAAAGAACAAGAAACGCGATAGATAAAACAAATCTAAACAGGCTCACACAACGACTTCATTCCGCTATCCAAACAGCCAAAAACGAATCTTTTGAAAGATATGTCACAAACCTTTCTCTTGACGACAACTCTCTTTGGAAAACCACAAAGAAACTCAAAAAGCCGGTAGTAATGAAATCACCAACTAGGAAAAATGATGGAACCTGGGCTCGATCAGATATAGAAAAATCCAACAGATTTGCAGAACATCTATCAACTGTCTTCTCCACCCTACAGGCCAACGATATTAACGACGAGAAAATTAGAGACTTTCTTAATGCATCCTGTCAACTATCATTACCACTAAAATACTTCTCACCAAACGAAGTCCGTAACCAAATTACCGTGCTTAATCCTCATAAAGCTCCAGGATTTGACCTTATAACTGGAGAAATCTTAAAAAACTTCCAAGAAAAGGTGTTGTCTTAATAACCATTATTTTTAATAGCCTCCTGAGACTATGCCATTTTCCAGTGTAATGGAAGTATGCACAAATTATAAAAATACCTAAACCTGGTAAACCTCTAACTGAAGCCAGTTCATACAGACCAACTTTATCAAAAGTCTTCGAAAGGTTAATCCTTAACAGAATACAAACAATAATACCTGTAGAAAACCTTATCCCAGATCATCAGTTTGGTTTTCGCTCAAATCACTCAACCATACAACAGTGACATAGATTAGTCAACAAAATAAAAGAGAGCCTAGAAGGGAAACAAATCTGTCTATCAGCATTCCTCGATATACAGCAAGCATTTGATAAAGTGTGGCACAAGGGTCTTCTCTTTAAAATAAAAACTCAACTAACTGATCAAATCTACCTCCTCCTTAAATCATACTTGTCTGACAGATACTTCCAAGTTAAATACGAAGGTGCCCTATCCAACTACCACCAAATAAAATCTGGAGTACCTCAAGGCAGTGTACTTGGACCATTCCTTTACCAAATCTTCACTGATGATATTCCTATTAGCGAAAATACACTAATGGCAACATTTGCGGATGACACTGGTATACTAGCATCAGATATCAATGAAATATTAGCATTTAACAAATTGCAAAATCATCTCAATAAACTAGAAGACTGGCTTAAATGCTGGAAAATAAATATCAACACAAACAAGTCGTGTCAAGTAAATTTCACAAATAGAAGAATTAGATGTCCACAACTACACCTAAATAATTCACCTATACCAATAAAAACTGAAGTAAAGTACCTGGGCCATTATCTAGACGAAAAACTTACTTGAAAATCACATATTGCAGCCAAACGACAACACCTCGACCTAAAAGTTAAAAATATGAGCTGGCTAATCAACAGAAGATCACAACTAACTAACTAACAATTAGAAAACAAACTAACAACCTATAAAACAATATTCAAACCAGTGTGGACCAGTGGCGGCTCGTGACATCTGCTATAGGGTGTGCTGCATGAACCACGGTCAATATAAAATAATAGAAATAGAATAACATACGAAAACAAAAACAATAAAATTAGCTTTAATACTAATTAATAGTAACTAATAACGACATGCTATAAAAATCTGATTAACTTACATTTATTGCATTTTTCTAAATTGGAAATTAATACGCCGGTCCTTTTTTGTCGCAAACTTTTCGATTACTTTATCGTTAAAGTTCGGTATTGAAGCGATGAACTTTTTTTCTATCGAGAGTGTGGAAAGGGCTGTTAATCTGTCTTCGCACATTGAATTTCTTAAAAATGTTTTGATCCGTTTTAAAGTTGAAAAACTACGTTCAGCTTCTGCTGTGGTCATTGGCGTAGTCACCAGAATTTGTATCAACTTTTTGGTTTCTGTTAATGTGTCCTCTAAATTATTAGAAATTATAAATTTTAGTAAAGGCACTGCACCTTTTAATGTTCTACACTCGATATTGGAATACAAAACTGACAGTTCTGTTCGCAAACGGTTTTTATCAAAGAAGTTATAAGCTGTACAAGTTAAATCCAATTCATTTTCAGGAAACTTATTATTATATTTTTCGAAATGTTCTGAAGATAAAAGTGTTGCGGCAACTAGATGATTTGTATATGCAAACCGTTCTTTTGCATTGTTTATAATAACATCACAAACTTCTAGACAGGCAATACGGTGATCCTGTTGGCTGTTATTTGGGCGTTTCCTTTTTTGGACACTAGGCGCCGCATTTAAATTTGAAGCTTGATGTATGATAGGGTCTATTTTATTTCGGACATTGTTAATACTTTGCTCAAAAACATGTATAGCTTTCTGTGCTTCGGTTGGGTCCATGTTCTTTTTTTGAAGATTATTGTACAAAACGTCAACATGTGGCATAATATAATGAAAAACAGTCAGCCAGAAAGTAAAATTTTGATCTTCCAGAATACGTCTAAGTCCTCTTGCTTCCTTGGAAGTAATATCATTTGACTCTTCTTCTAGTTGCTCCATACACTCAATAATAAAGTCTCTATATTCGTAAACGACATTTACTGTACGAATATTGAAATTCCAGCGTGTAGGGATTGAACGAGGAATATTTTTTCCAACTATTTGATTTAAGACAGCTATTCTTTGAGGTGAATGACTAAAAAATCCAGGTATATCATGTAAATCTCCAAAAAATACGCGTACTTGGGAATTAATAGAACATGCTCTTGACATTATTAGATTCAATTGATGGGCGTAACAGTGCACAAAATGAGCAGTTTCATATTTTCTCTTAATTATTGTTTGCACTCCGCCATGTATCCCACTCATAACAGCTGCTCCGTCATAACTTTGTGCAATGAGCTTATTTTTGTTATTCTTTAATATTGGGTCTAAAACATTCAAAATTGTGTTAGCTAAGGTTTCAGCATCATGTTTTTCTGGAAGCAAAAAAGTCCAAAACCTTTCAACTGGAGCACCGTTTTTTACATTACGAAAAACAATGACCATTTGAAATTTCATAGAAACATCCGTTGTCTCATCAGCTATCACTGCTAAAAATGGGGCTTCATTGATTTCGTTTAAAATCTCCTCAGCGTATACTTCTAGCATGCAATCCAAAATATCATTTTGTATTGTTTTTGAGGTACCTTTGAAAATTGTCGCATTTGTAAGGTGTTCACTAAGTGTTTTATCAAGTTCAGCAGAAAAATTCACTAAACCACGAAAAATTCCAGGGTTATCTGATGTTTCAGATTCATCGTGTCCTCGTAAGGCGAGCTCAAAAGCCCCACAGAATTTTATACAGTCAATTATTTTTGACAAAACATACCTGTTTTTCGTCACCTCTTCATTGTGTTTTTGTATATTTATCCAATAAGCAGAGTCAAGTTGGGCCTGTATATTAAGTTTCCCAAATAATGCAAATCGCATTTCATTGTTCATATGAGTTTGCGTGTTTTCATGCTTCTTTATTTTTTCACTTAAATGCACTAGATCCCGCACTCCTGTCTCGCGCCACAATTTTTCCTCTTTATCTGCGCCGAATAATGCACACGGAAAACAGAAAAAAGCAGGCACAGATGCAACGGTCACGAATAACTGTCGTGAATTGCAGCTCGCAAACACATTTCCGAGGCCGTTAATCAGCCGATTGCCGAAGCACATCGGCTAAGATCGCCGTTTGCCTAATAAATGCATTTTACCGCTGCCAGTGTTTCGGTTGTTATCGACGCGGCTTCACTGGAGCAGCAAATACGTAAAAAGATTGCTTCACTGGAGCACCAAATACGTAAAAAAATTATACGGTTTCACTAGAGGAGTAAATACGTAAAAAAAATAATATTAATCATCGTTGTTGGTGAATTATTATTAACAGTTTATGTTTAATATGATAATATGGCAGATTTGAAATAAAACTATATTAATTATTCTTTAATAATTAAGATTTGCTATGGTTGTTTGGTAGTTCTGCAGCTCAGCAGCACATAAAGAAAAGCCGCCACTGGTGTGGACATACGGAATTGAGCTGTGGGGCTGTAGCAAACCATCCAACACCAAAATACTGCCGACATTCCAGTCAAAAACTATTCGTATGTTAGCTAAAGCCCCATGGTATGTGTCAAACCAAACCCTGCATGCAGAGCTCAACCTCTCCTTGATCAATGATGTGATCGCTGACCACTCCAGAAGATACATGTATCGCAGCGCAGACCATCCAAACCATCTGATAGACGAATTATTCAATCCCCCACTGGTTGACAGACATCTAAAAAGACTTTGGCCAGAAGACCTAGCTGCTAAGTAAATTCCAGAGAGTCGTCAATGGACGAGACCTGCTACAAGCCAAGAACATACATCATATTTACTTATTACTGTATTCAAGTAGATTGTAAATTAGCAATAAATAAATAAATAAAAAAATATATATATATCAACAACAAGCTGCTGATATCCAAAGTAAAAATAAAACTAATTTGGTTATATCGCTCACAGCTATGGGGATCAGCTAGCAAATCTAATATTATAAAAATACAAAGATTTCAATAAAAAATTCCAAGACAATCGCTAATGCTTCATGGTATGTCTCCAATGACGCCTTGTATAAAGATCTGCAGGTACTAGCAGCCTCTGAAGACTACAAGAAAAATTCTGAACAATATCCAAATAGGCTGAGCGTGCATCCTAATACCCCGACAAACAATATTTTCAACGACCAAAAACAAGCCAAAAGATTGAAGAGATATGATCCCTTAGATCTACCTAACCAATCATGATAGGACAGTAGTAGAACCTACACCCTCAACAGTGCCAGCCATTATGTTTTGTTTATAGATTACCCGCCGAGATAACAGGTTTCCGAAACTGATGACGTCATAGTCGCTGTGAGCTTATCTCCACAGGATCTTTCTTCTTCCTATGTGAATTGGAAAAAATGTTTTAAATTGGAATATAGTATAAAACTTACTTTTATTGAGTTTTGTCTGTAGCTTTCTTCCATCTTAGGAACCTCCGATTTAACCAAATCCAGTTGTTGTGCATATTGGGATAGAACATCTTCTACGACTCTAGTTTTTTCCCTCATTGTATCTAGGTAATATTTCGATTTCACTGATATGGTCTTTTTGATGGAAAACCCATTTTTGTATTCTCGTATTCTGGTCTCACAATCCTCCCGTAACTTCTTAATCGAGTTGGAAGTATCATGGAAATTTCTCTGCAACTCAAGAACGTTTTTTTCAACTTGCTCTTTGACTTTCTTTTCAGATAGTTTGATTCGTTTAGACTCCTGACTTCCAAATTCGTCTAACATAGATACGGCATTTGAAACTGCAGTGTGCGTAAGTTTTTGATTAGAAACATTTATGTTAAATTGATGTTCCAGTTTAGCCAACAATATTTCTTTTTCGCTGTGCAAAGTTTTGGTTGCCGAGAGTAGCTTTTGCGCCTCTTCTAATTTTTCGCTGGTTTGATCTTCGAACCATTTTGAGAGAAATTTTTCTTGTTCGAGTATATTGTCTTTATCTTTTATCATGGCCATCGCGTTTTCTAACTCTTCCTTGTGTTTTTTGCATTGTTCTACAGTTTCATCGAATTCCCTCATCCTGGAATATAAACGATCCTCTGAAATGTAAAATAAGTATTAATTTTATAATAAAAGAGGATATATAGAACACTTATAAAACAAGCATTCAATTCGAGAAGCTTTGATAACTACGTGATATAACAGAGAGATGGTGCGAACTCAGATGAATCATCTTGATCCTTTTAATAGGCTAAATATTATAGCAACTCGTTTAGAAGTCAGGCTATGTATTCTATGACATTACGAATACACGGAAATTTAGAAAAAGAAGAACTGTCATCTGACACTAATTTTAAAGGGAAAGATGGACCATAGACATATAATACAAAAATAGACTGACTGCTGCCATATAGTCGCATTCCCAAAGTGCGACAGACAAAACTGACGCAAAGCAATCCTGCATCTCATTCTAATTTGACAGGTTTATCGACCACGTGGCCTAAATGACCAATTAGCTAGAGATGCAAGGACTGCTTTGTTCAGTTTTGTCTGCCGCACTGGGGGAACGCGACAAAAAATAAATAGAGTAGTTAGGCCTTCTCATTATTTATTTAAGAGATCCCCCACACTGTCAACTAATCTATCTGTTTTTAGTGAAAGTTTCCTATGATTTTTAAACTAAATATTCTGCTCTCCCACATGAGCCTAAATAAATTATTTTCCATGTCTAGAACTTGCTAATTTGCTTGGTCCGGTCATTTTACACAAAAACATCTTCAAATATACACACATAATTCATATCTGTACAGACACGATCTTAACCCTTTAACGCTCACTGGTATACCTGTAGTACCAAGCGTTGCCAGATGAATCAGTGAACCTAAATGCTGCTGATATTTAAATTAGAGTGGGGGCGGTGTTTGTATCTACCGGTGGATTTCGTGAGTTGGCTTAGAAGTTTCATAGTTGGCGGTAAAACTTGCCACGTGCTTCTGAGTGGTATTACTGGTATAACAGTGAACATTTAGACAACCATTTTTTACACTGTTTTGTGTTTGTTATTTATTTCTGGCTGTTATTTCTAAATTTAGCTGAAGATTTTCACTAAACACAGGTAAGTTTATTTAAAATATGTTTAAACTGCACATTTCTTGAAAGCATATTTCAAAAAAATTTAATATTAAAAAAACGAGGTATTCAAATGAAATTTTCTTTTGAAAAAAAATTACACAAAATATTTCAAAAAATTTAAAAACAGTTTGCGATTTCCATGTACACAGTGTTAATCTCTATATTCCTTAGATTTGTTTTTTGCCTTTGAAACTTAAATTTTTTGTTGCGCTAGAAAAATTTTTGCATTTTTTTAAAAACAGTTGAAATTTTTATGTAAGATTTTAAAGAAATAGTAAATATGTTCACAAAAATAAATATAGGTAAAATAATATAAATAATTTTTTTATATTTGCTTTTATTTTCCAGGATTGATAAAAATTATGGAAGAAAAGCGAAGTTTTTCAACATGGTTTTGGAAAAAGCCTTTAATGCCAGCGGAACTGTTAGAAGAATTAGAGGGAATTACTGATGAGCAAGCCGAAAACTCCGATTTGTAATGGAGATTCCGATGATGATGATGATTTAGACGAAGTATCTGATACAATTAATAATAGATCATCTTTATATACACCTACATTCGCAGGTACTTCTACACCACAGCTACCTCGAAAACGAAAGATTAACTTGAATTTATCAGAGGATAATAAAGGTGACTTGGATTCCGATGATTCAGTGGACGATCCTAATTTCATGCCACCTTCACAGCTTCCACTGGTTTCCCAAGAAAGTGAAGAAGAGGATGAAGAGGTAGAAAATACTACTGAACCATTTTCTTCTTGGACTAAGACTGCCGACCCCCCTAAGAGGTTCAATGCATTTAATTTTTTTGCCGATGTAGGAATACAGATTGAGGTTGAATCCGAGGAGCCAATTACATTTTTTGAAAAACTTTTAACACCTGAGTTTATGAACTTTTTTGTTCAACAATCAAATTTATATGCCGAACAAAATGGGAAACAATTAGATTTAACAGTGGAGGAGGTTAAGGCATTTATTGGTGTTTTAATTATAATGGGAATTAATACATTACTAACCCTGTGCAAATATTGGTCACATAATGCTAATTTTCACAATCACAGAATAGCAAAAAGATTTTTAAAAATACTCAGGTTTTTGCACCTAAATGACAATCACAACATGCCGCCTCGTGGATCCACAGCTGATGATAAACTGTACAAAGTGCATTCACTCATTGAACACTGTTCTAGTGCATTTTTCCGATCGTTTAAACCAAGCCGAAATGTTGCAGTAGACGAAAGCATGGTTGCTTTTAAAGGGCGTACCAGTCTAAAACAATATATGCCCATGAAGCCGATAAAGAGAGGAATAAAGATTTGGGCTTTGCCTTGTTCAGAAACTGGCTATTTATTTGCATTTATAATATACCAAGGTAAAGAAAACGACGAGAAATGATACTTTGGGAGAACATGTTGTTTTAAATTTAGTTATAGATTTCTTTGTTCAGGAATATTGTATTTATTTCGACAATTTCTATACCACTATATCCCTTATGGAAAAATTAAAAGAGAGATCTCTTTTTGGTTGTGGAACAATCAGAAAATCTAGAAAATATGTACCAAAAGAGAAGTTGAAAGAAGACAAAAAGTTTGAAGTGTCTGATGAGATATCTATCACCAATTGGAAAGATAGAGGGGTAAAAGCAGTTACTGTGTGTGTGTAATATGCACAATGCTGCTGAAACTGGCCACATTCTTCGCACGAATAAAAAACGAGAGAGAGAGAAGTTGTTGAGTGACCATTTTCTATAGTTGATTACAACAAATATATGGGCGCTGTTGACCGCTTTGATCAAAGAATGGCAGCATACTCCATTTGTTGGAAAAGTAGAAGATGGTGGGTGAAGCTTCTATATTACTTTATAGATGCATTTATTGTGAATGCCTATATACTTTATAGAGAGGATCGAAAAATAAAACGAATTCACAAAAAAAGTCTTGTAGCCACCTGGACTTTAGGAGCAAATTAGCGGATCTGCTCATAGGAAATTATAAGGCCAGAAAACGGCTAGGACCTATAACTATAAACAGAAATGATTTTGGGAACATTACGCACGTTCCAGTTAAAACAACCAAAAGGAGGTGTCAAGAATGTTCCAAACGGGGAATCCAATTGCGTAGTAATTACAAATGCCATGCCTGTGATGTAGCTTTATGTGTGGAATGTTTTGGGCCATACCATAACACTTAAGAGATTTAAAATATATATTGTTTTATTTAGATAATGTTTTGATTTGATACTGTTTGTATTTTTAGTATATTTTTATAATAAATAATATTGAATGGTTTCGGTATACTACGTATACCACAGAACTTCTGTGATTTTTTTTCCTTTAATGCTCCCTGGTACAATGGTTTACCATATTTTTACAGAAAAATCAACCAACTAAAAAATACAACAAAATTTTTTACTACTTAGTGTACATATTTTTGTTTAAAAATGCTCTTTTCAACTCTTTTCAACTCAGTTTAGCAAAACGATAATTTTGCGCCTTGAAGGGTTAAGTGCGGATCTCTCCTTATATGCAATGGCCATTCACATCTTAGCCCTATTTGATTTTAATCCTGCAGTTTGACTGTAATTGACACCCCAGTCATTCTATGAAAAAAAAAACAATGTTTTTCACAGTTCTAAAGAGTATATGAGGGATAGCTGATAACAAATTATTCAACAAAATTTATATATTTCTTACGAAATAATATTAAAATTCAACTTTTGCACGGAAAAAACTTAACTACTTAATTTTTTTCGGGATTTTCCGATTTTTCCGGGAGGTGAAAATAACACAGTTCTTATTGTTTTATTGAGCTACCGCAATTAAAAACAAATTGAATAACTTACAAACTATTTGGTTGATCTAGCTGTGAACAGCTAAAAAACAATGGGTTGCAATAAATGTATGGATAAAAACTCTCTGTGATCTTGTAAAATGGTGTTTTAATTTTCATTTGACGATTGTTAACTTAAAAATATTAATTTTTCATTGAGTTATCGAGCCTTGGTCTTTTCGTGATTTTTTAGATGTTATGTTGTTTATAAATTATGTATTTTAGAAAAAAGTTACTATTGTTATAAAAAGGTATATAAATGTTATATAAAAGATACATTGATTAAACAAAATTAATACCTAAGCTTTTAATTCTCTCTGCTTTCCTGTCCATCAACTCATCTGGTGTGATATGTTCTCCTGTTACTGCTACAATAGCGTCTATCATTTTTTCATAGTTCTCCTTGTTGACATAAAAGCCTGTTCCTGATCTTGCAGCGTCCAAATCTTTCTGTAATCTAAAAAAAAGTGTGTTTTTGTGAGTCACTAAATACAAAAAAAAATAAATATACATACTTATCAATCTCCTTTACTAAACCTTCAATCACCTCATTCTTTGTCATTTTTTCATTCACTGTAGGAGTATTTTTAATATCTCGGGCCCTGGAAGCATATTCTAGAGTACTTGAGGTCTCCTCATGTGAATTTAACGCTGGGGATACTGTGGCAATTATAGCAGTCTTTGTGTGTCCTCCTAGAGAATCCTGCAGGATTCTCGTCAATTTTGAGTCCCTATAGGGTACATGTTTATTAGATTTGTCAGCTAAGGCATGTATAACTCGTCCAAGGGTCAACAGCGATCTACAAAACAAAAAAGATTTATTCAGTTTAAAGTTTAGTTCAAAGTCAATACTTTCAATATGTATAGGATGGGGGTAAAAATGACATTAACACCAATGAAACGGAAAAAATACAATGGACCTATACTATTCTTTGAATGAAAGTTTTTTTAAATAAAAAATAAATTTCACAACAAACAAAGATCAATGTATTTAAAGCAGTATATAACAGTTGAATGTATTTAAAATAATTACTTACATCATAAATAATAACAAAATGTATACTCACTTATTTATATTTGCAAGTTCCACAGCTCTTATTTCTTTACATCCTGATTTCGCTATATTTTCGCTACCAGCTAGATCTACTAGATTTATTTTTCCGGCTTTTAAAATGTCATCGCCACATATAGTGGTTTCTCTGGTATTTATTGAAATTGTGAAGACTGTATGAGATCTTGAACTCTGATGATTCATGAGTGTTGGAGCTATTTGTCTCTTAAAAATACCTCGTTGCAAATATTTACAAATACCTTCGCCATTGTGGACAGAAATTTCTGTCAAGCCATGAATTGTTACTGCTCCCTTGTTGTCGCTGTACATCCTAACAATAAATACAATTAAATGTTTGTGTCATACAGCAATTATATTTTTCATAATAACTTCGTGAAATGTGGAAACTTCATGAAATCACAATGGTTGAAAACAAATAACTGACAAAGAAGAAGAGAAAACGCTTGAACAAACAAAATTTATAATGTTAATTACAGATAATAAGCCAGTGCATGTAACAGCTACAAACTACATACTATATTGCAATAAGTTGTACTTTAAGCTTCATAATATAATTTTTTGCTCAATTGTAATTGGAGTCAGATTAATAATGTCCTTTAGAGTCTTGTTGATATGCCTTGAGCTCACATTCTTCTGTCATGTGAAGAATAATCTGGTTTAAGCTCCCCACTGATAGAATTGATTAGTAATTGATTAGTGTGGACTCTATATGCTGCCTTCCAGATTTCCCGAGGCAGTTCAAATCCAGCAGAAAGTTGCCTTGTATTTCCCACTTGCATTCTGGCTCTGATTTTCTAAGGAGAGGTCAACAGCAGTCTTAATAGCTGGTCTCATAGACTTTAGACTACTCATAAAGTGTCGGAGATATGATGATATGCAGCATTTAAAGAGCATTCTCCTGTTACAAATTAGGAGAAAAAAAGTAGTTCTGATACACCCTGTTATTATAGTCATGGTTAAGTTCATCTTTAAGTTTGTTGAGTCAGACAGAAGCTCTATATATTGCTTTATTCTAGACCAAACCCATGTAAAACGACATAGTGTAGTGATGGTTGAGTTGGAACCTGTACCACACAATTTTTCTTTTAGGTAAAGATAGCTCAAACACTACTGAAAATGAAGCTGCGTGAAGGTGGAGTCAAATTCACTTAAAGTCCGAAAGATTCTATTGTAAGTGGAATTATACAGTGCATAGTACAATGCATTTCACATAGAAGTGGGGACTAAACCAAAGTTCTTGCACTATCTCTAGTTCCTAGTAGATACTTTCGCACCTGTATTACTGTATAGTTTTTTCATTAAGTTGTTCCTAGTGCAGGTTTTTGCAACTGTATTAGTCAGATTTTGCTTTGTATGATAAAGTTTTGTTTAGATTTGATATTGTCTCTATTTTATACAAGGTCACTAAGCATTTGTCTGGATTATCTCAGTTCTTTCTGTAGATTTTCTTGTGACTGCCAATTCCAAATCATCTGTCATCACATGTAAAGTTTTCACTGGTTGTCTGAATTATACAGATTTATATGCAACAGGGTAAGTATGGGAGTTATCAAGTGATCTCTGTCTGATGCTGTCTTCATCCATGATTGCCTGAAAGGATCTATTACTCAGTATCTTCTTTGGAAGAACTTTTGAAAGGGTGAAGAAAGAACAATCTCATCCCTTTAGGGATGAGATTGTTTTCTAGGAACTCATTAAAATATATTGCAAGCCACCATTTAGTGAGAATGAATTCTTGACTGCTGTTCGGAAACCAAGGGCTTTTCCACTTTTAACACTTTGTAGTGCTTTAAATACAACCTATGACTCTTGACAATTCAAACAGCTACCTAATTAGACTGAATGAATCTTATATCAAATACAAGCTGTTTAATAATAGCCTACTTTTAATTGCATTTTATAACTGTTTATGAAAATCTAAATAATTACTACTCAATCACCCCACATAATTGTACTTACTGTAAAATATTCTCATTGTCACTTAATAGATCTCTAATCTCTTCATTATATAATTCAATGTATGAAACTTTAACATTTACATCTACATTGGACAATTTGTCAAGTTCATGAAAAATATGAAAAGCTGCTCTGGGAATTACACCTGCATGTATATCCTGAAAATAATAATTTTTAAAGTTATAATTCTATACCTGAAACCAAAGTACATTTACGGAATTTTAATGATCACCTTTATTTCAGAACACAAATATAAATATTGTATGTATATGAGATTAAACCACAATGGATGAAACTCACTTTCACATTTGTTTAATCTTTATTTCCAATTGAGCAATGCAGTTTTTATTTGAAACAAAATATATAATCATAGTCTGTAATGTTTCATGTTTAAAATAAAATTCAAATGGATTAAAATCCCAAATGTAAGGTAATTAAATACCTACTGTAAAATGTGAAACCCAAGAGACCAATCAAATGGAGAATATAAGATTATTAGTATAAAATATACTTAATTGATATGAGGTTGAATGCTCGAATAAATGAACTTTGAAATTTAAGGCAAATATCAAGCACAAGTTTAACCGTGCTTGTGCTCAATATTTGCCTTAATTTTCAAAGTTAAAATATACTTATTGGGTTATTCCAAATTTGGAAAACATGTGCACAGAAGGAGGATTGTAGGATGTCAGGTATTTTTCCAAGGCATTTGATAGGGTGAAACATATTATATTATTAAATAAACTATATAGTTTAGGTTTTTCACCCTTGATGGTCAAATGGCTCAGAGACTTTTACAGTGGGCATATTTAAAAAGTAAAAATTGGAAACTATTGCTTTGATGTTATTGAGGTTACTTCTGCTGTGCCACAGGAGGTTCACCGTTTCCCTTGCTGTTTTGTTTGGTTATCAATGACTTAACAAATAAATTAAAATACACAGGTGTGTTATTGTTTGCATATGATCATATCAAACTCTTTAGAAGAGAAAAACTTTTTGATAAAGTTCAGTCTGTTATTTTTTTTCAATTTTATTGAGTAAAAATTGTTTTTCCACAATCAATACTGAAGTCTCCTATTTAAAATAAATTTTGAGTAGTCTATAATCCTTAATAAATCAATAGCAATTAAAAATAGCCATCGAGCTCTTATGACAATTCTGAACTTTATTAAACACCTAAATATACAAAAAAAAAGAAATTTAAAAAACTCACCTCCCTCCAATTTCCAACTAGATTGCATTTATCTCCAGTCATAGTATAAGTTTTTCCAGTACCAGTTTGTCCATATGCAAACACAGTACAATTATATCCTTCAATCACATCTTGAATCAAAGGGGCAATAACGTGCAAATATAATTCAATTTGTGTAGCTGTTGATTTGAAAACTCTGTCAAAACTATACTTTTTCTCCTTAAGAACTAATTCTCTGTGAGTATGAGTCGTTATAACACTCTTTACATTTTGATCCTCCTCTTGTTTACTTAAAGGCCTAGCAAAAGGAAAAATTATTTTTGAATAGTAAATTTGTATGTAACTATCTAGGCTGCTTAAAATATATGATAAACTGTAAAACATGGAAAATGTATAACAAGTTCTTGTACGCTATTCTAATTAATAAAGCTCTCTTATTAATATCTAATTTCAAGATTTGATACAGCAAGACCCCAAATTAATAGCCAATAACATATAGAAATATAAATACGGGTACAAAGGCTTTTAACATACATCACAATACTTACCTAATTCTTACTACCACTTTCACATTTTGTAAGTGCTGAGGAGTTTTTCTTTTTTGCGTCATACTCGACATGTTTGTCCACACACAAAGGATTGTAAACTTCTGAAAATAGTCTATAATTTATGGAACCAAACTACAAAAACCAATGTAAAAAGTAAAAACCTGAATACTAACTAAAAAACAACACAATTAGTTCAAAAAGTTTTGTATATAACGGCCACATATGTCATGTGTCATATTATACTGTCAGCTGTCAATCTAATTCTTCATTTTTATTATTTGATTATAGGCACAGATATGTAAGTATCTCTGATTATAGGTGAAACTCATCGAGCAATAAGACAAGTGAAACTTCACTTGTTTATTAAAAGACCTTAACAACGGGCTTTATATCAACAATAAATTCCCGAAGAAATTCATGAATTTATTCATCAATTTCTGTGTCAATAAATTCGTGAATTTCTTGGACGTAAAAGTTTCTTTGACTTAAAAATAAATTTTTACATCAAGTGTCATTTATTTCAGTAGTACCAGAGAACTACGAACGCTGTGTTCGTATGTTCTCTGGTAGTACCACAGAACACTAATCACAACTTAGTATTCTGTGGTAGTACCAATGGTTTTATTATTGGATGTTATTTATTGTTGTTTATTTGAATAAATAATAAATATATATTTGGATTTGGAAATATTATCAGAATCAGAAAACAATATCATTTTAAAAAGAAAATAGTGATTAAGATTGTACAAAAAATTATGCTGAATTTGGTAAAGAGTAGAGTTTGAACAAGAGGTAAAAATAAGTGGAAATTACATTATAATTATTGAAAACTTTTTATTTTTAGACATAGAAGATAATTTTAAATAACTTTAATAAGGACAACATAGGCACAGAATAATAAACAATCAGAAGGGCCACTCTCAGATGCCGCCTTTGAAGTTTTTCAGCACGCGCGCCATGTTTTAGGAGGACACAAACATATGATTTGTGAGGTTATGCAATTGTTTACATTTATGTTTAATTATATTATATTTATGTTATTATATTTAAAACTGTTAATATAATTGTATAGTATGTCTATGATTGCCGTAAGTCAAATAAACCTGGTTTTTTTTCCATGCACACCACATAAACAACACTGGTTCCCTTTAAAATCCTCGTAAAACATGGCGGAACGTCTGCGCGAAGGAGATGCGCGTACTTAATTTTCCGTGAAGAGTGGGCATTCTGTTTGTTTATTATTCTGTGCCTCAACCAGACCACAGTATAGTGCTTTAAAAAGAATTCTCTTAAAGCACTATACTGTGACCAGACCAAGTAGAAGTAAAGAAGAGAGAAAGCTACAATACTTTTTATGATCTTTTAACCACTATTCATAATAATATATTCTCAAGAGATATTTACCTAATATAAATAAATAGCTATGTTTATTGTTAGAATATTGAGATGTGTACAATTCTAATCACAAAGAGATATTGTAAAGAAATGAATAATTAAATTAAATAAAACATGGAAATAACCATAATACTTTACCACTAGTTTGTGAGCTGATTCTTTACAATTTTAATAATTTGTCTTTAACATATTACAATTTGCTTTATTGAATAGTAGGGTAGGTTAGGACTAAACTAAATAGGTGTATAAAAATACAATAATTTTTAAATATTATATAATTTAAATAATAAATGAAGAATCATAATAACAGGAATAAAAGCTAGTTTTAATATTTGTTATATACACAAACAACTATAATTTTTTTCTTAATAAAAACTGTACAGATTTTATCCGTAGGATATGGAATCCTGCACTTTTAAAGGAAGATAGTCAATTTAAGAAGAAAACTATGAATAATGAAGTATGAGAATAAGAAGAATGGATAAGAAAGAACAAAATTAGTAGCAGGCCAACGGCTTCATGTAGAAAAAGAGCACAACAGAAACATGTCAGAGAAATGGAATTATTGAAGACATGCATTGAAAAGAAATAGATTTATTAGGTTTAAAAATTAAATTATACGAAGAAAAATTTAATAAAAAAAAAGTTCTATGTATATTAATGATTCTTCAGAGGTTTTCCCATAACACAAAAATATTTTATAGGGTTCTCAAACACCTTTAACTTAAGAAAGTTCAATAACGTCTTTATTTAGCAATTCATCTTCAAAATTGTCTCCACTTTGATTTTTTAATTGAATCATTTCAACTATACAGCCACTTTCATTGGCTAAAATTGGAAACTTTCTTCTTCCATACACATTCTGTTAAATATCTGGAATTCAGTGTACCAGCCTGAATGTGAATTTAAAATCTAATCAATAATATAGAATTATTCATACCTGGTTCAAAAAAATAGATGAGTAGACTCAACGCAAAGTTAATTTAAAAATCCTATCAATAATACAATATTATTCATACCTGGTTCGACAGGAAAATGTATCCAGGGAGTATCACCAAATTATCAGAATTTAAAATGTCTAAATTCTTTATTATTTTTTAAAGTTGCTGTTTTTGAGAATCATGAGCGGAATGTGACAGCCTAGGTACTATATCACTCCATACTTTTCATTTTGCAATCTTATAATACTTGGCATTTCAAAGAAAACAATCCTTTCCTGTTTCAGAAATCAATAGCATCCATATCTCTTGGAAAACTTTGATTAATCCATTTTTAAACTTTCGACTAGACCAAGTAAAAGATAGGAGTGAAGAAAAAGGTAGAATTATATAATCTTTTATTAAAAAATATTTACTATATATTCTCAGAGCGTTAAATAAATAATATTTGAAAAAAACATGTAAGAAAGGGAAAAGTAAACAATATTTTAATAAAAACTAGAGTTTTCTGTCTCGAAATTTTATGTTTTTCCTAAAAAAATACATAATATTATTTTCTGTCTTTTATTATAGAGTAACTTACCTCTTTTCCATAACTATTACTTGACACACGACTTAAAAATGTAAAGTTCAATTTGGTTCAAAATAATTATTATCCCTACTTCGCGCCAAATCTACACAGGTTGGTGATACTGAATTCAGGTCCAATAAATGAGAAAAATAGAACATGTTCTATTTCGTCAATTTCTTCACGAAGTTATTCATGAATTTATTCACGGTAAAATTGGATGTCAAATTGTGCTTTACACAGGTCAAATTTGACCTTGAAGCGACTTCACGAATTTCTTCATGAATTTATTGTTGGTGTAAAGCCCGTATAACGGTTTCCAAAGAGGCCGACGAGAAAATGCATTTTGTTTCCAAATAAGGAATTTTTAGAAGTTTTAAAGACCCTGTTATACGAGAGAAGAAAATAAAATATTATTTTAACTTTTAATAATTGAATCTTTTTAGAAAAAATATTCTGATTCAAATTTTTAATATGTACAAATCTACAAATAATATAATTAAAACTCTCTTCTTATAAACTATGAATAAAATTAATTAAAAGGCAATCACCAGGAGATAAAGAATTATTTTTTACAATTTGAAATTAAGTATAATAACGGATTTTTAAATCTAAAAAAATAAATAACCAAGTCTTAAAAGACGCCTATCTAGACTCAACAAAGGAAAATAAGGAAAAAGGCTAAAATGGACATGGAACATGTGCCATAAAATCACAAGAAAACCAAATCGGCAACATCCGAGGAAAAAAAGAGACTTCGGTCGGGAAAATACCATCACCCCCCGCAACAGAGTTGCTAAAAAATTGCTTTATTGTAAAAAAAAACAGAAAAAGACAGTTTGCAAATAAATGGCAACATTTCTTAAATCTGGATTTTATCTTTGATACCTCACGTTTTTAAGAACTGGCAACCCCAATATTCGACCATTTTTTTCTCGGGCAAATTTATATCACCATATTAAGAAAAAAAAAATAAATTTTTTGTCAAAAATAATTACTATTAATTTGAATTAAAAATATTTGCGGCCACTTTTTGACTGGCAACCAAATACAACAATTCATTTTTTAAATCGAGTAACTTAATTGTGTTATAAAATGAATTTTAAAAAACTATGCTTGGTAAAAGCTTAGAAGCTTGAAACAGTGCTCCCATGGTTAATATATTCAGTAGTTCATTAAATAAAAATTTTCACTCGTTTGAAAAAATAAAGAAAAGTTCTTAAAAGGCATCTAACCTGTCTAGACCTAACTGTAATATTAAAACCGCGGGATATGTACCTTTTTTGTAATTGTTTTGGCATTAAACAACCGTTTTTTTATTCATTATTAACCTGAGCCAAATGTTCAGTTTAATTTGCAGATTCTTGTCCCCTTATTTTTCTTCCGCATAAAAATAGCCCCTCTAGCCAGCTTCAATTATGACTTAATCAGATCAGTGAGTTTGATCTCTAGGTCACAGCATAACGAACAAACTAGGTTATTTAATATAACTCTGCAGTATCTCCATTGACTTGATAACGTGTGCATTGGATTATTTTGTTTTTCTATCTTGATAGTTCCATAATTTCTTTGGTACAGTTCAGTACTTCGAGGTTGAATATTTCTTTGTTGATATCTCATGGCTCTAGGTCTACGAAGAATAGTGGTAGCGGTCATGCGAGCTTGATTGTTTATTTCCAGTTTTATATCTTCTATAGGAATCGAAGGATGATAAGCCTTCTCTTCTTTCAGTGGATAAGTGTGAAAAATTATCTACTCCTCCCGAAGATGCTTCACTAGCTTTGTGTATATCTGAGCATTTATTTGGACTGTATTGTCCATGAGTGTTCTGGTATAAGTGTATTTTCTGTAGTTTTTGCTAAGTTGTCTACCATTGATTTGTAATTAATGACTCCGTAGTTGTATATTGAAGGTGGTTTAGGGTCTTTAACTTAATTTTAATTTGATATGTTTGCTTTAGTCAGTGTCTACTTTCTTGTGCTGGTATTGACGTCTTCTTCGACAGAAAGCTGTTTGAATTTATTTATAAATTTATAAGCGATAAAAAACAGGTATTAGGTGGAACTTGCACAACCGGTTGGAAGACTTAAGTTCGCAGAAGACATTTTTATCATAACCGAACATAGCAACCACATGCAAAAGTAGACCGACAATCTTGCAAAATACTAGAACGTAATGTGCCTTCAGATAAATAGAGAAAAAACGAAATTCTTAAAAACAACAGCCAAGAAACCAAAATTAACATAAATGGACGACAAATAGAGGCAGTAGATGACTTTACATATTATGTGGGATCAATCATGGAAAAAGACGGTAGTAGATCAGATATCGAA